TCATAACACCCTTGAAAAACTTGTTTTACTGCATCATTTGAGCTTCATGTATTCCATCTTGATGTAGCTCTTCAGTTATTTCCTGGAGCACCCTTCTGGACCATTGATGCGTTTTTGCATTTCTATTCTACCTCTTCGAGTGACATTGTCGTATTGAAAGCCTTCTAATGAGACTATTAACTCAAAAATCAATACATTGTATGACATGATATGTATGAAACATGTGTTAATTCCAAGGTAATTATCCTAGAACAACTTTTAAAGAACTCACAACGTCCCAACATGTCAAAGCAGATAAAAAATATCTACCCCTTCGTATGACGTTATTTTAAAAGCTTTATAATTTTTATAAATAACTCGGGTATTAACAACATGTTTATGCAAAAAAAATAAAGCAACAGGACAAGGAAAAGATGTTAGCAAAAATAATAATCAAAGAGAGGAAATGTATATTAGTGAAATATGAAAAGATTAAATTCAACTGGTAAATTAACCATAAAATACAGCGAATAAAACACATAGAGCAAATTAAAGCCCTAACCGCATAATTTCTAAATCACATACATTTATTCAAAAATAATCTATCGAAAAAAGTAAAAGACGAAGGTTAGAGTTCATTTCTCCTTTCTGTACACTTAATTGGGTACCTATGGACAGAGTTTCAGCATGGACTTAGATCGAGTGGGTTTCTACAATTTACTATATGCAGAGTTTTCGTTCTAGGAGTAAAGGTACTCGAATTTTCCTTGTCGGTGCCCCTTTGGGCAAACCAGACTCTCAATCCTCGCCTATTATAGGCTTAAGTGGATCGAGTTCAATTCGAGAGGGCACATTTTCCTATGCCTGACATGGAGAATAAATCCTCATGAAGATATAGGGCATATGAACCCCAAAAGCTACTTACTAGGTCTGACACGGAGAATAAATTCTCACGAAGACGTCGTTTTCACTCCCACTTAAAGGGGAAATAGCTTGAATATAGAGCTTATGTTATGCAATGCAAGTGTCGTGTGTGAGGAGAAATTCTCAAACCTTTGAAAAACAACCACACTAAAATCGAGCTAAAATAAATCCAAAATTTCAATATATGAAAATCAATCAAATACAAACATCAGTATATAAGGATATAAAATTAAATAAAAAAATTGAAAGGAATAAAAGGAATCGTAAATTAAATAAAATTGAATTCTCAATTTCCAACTATAAAGACAATATATAATCAATTTAGGGCTTGATCCACTAAGTCCCTAGCAGAGTCGCCAAACTGTTGATACCGTTTTTCGCCCAGGCGGGGGAAAACTTAGAACGACTTGAGGGTTTTTCTTTGAAAAGGTTTTGAAATGTAAGGAGTCGCCATCGACCTTTTGAGTTAGGTAGGTCGAATACCTAAAAATTTTCTTTTAAAATAGTTTTCTAAGAAAACATCATTTTAAAAGATTCACCAATCTACGTGTAACCAGAGATTCATTCTTTTTTAGAATAAAAGAGGGTTCAGGGATTGATTATATGTGGGGAAGTATAAACACCCCCACAACGCCCAAAATTCGTACCCCATCGATTATAAATTGTCTCTAATAGTGAAAATCTAAGAATTCAAATATAAATTTAAGTTACGATACTATTATTCCAAATTCAACCAAACAATTTTTTATTTAACGAGAAATTCTAAAGATAAATAGAAAATATTCTAATATTTCCAATCGAAGAGAAAATAATCCCTAAAATACTTTAGGACGAATATTTCTCTTTCTAACTGAAATAAAAAGAATATAATAATTTATCCCAAAATTTCAAGATTAAAATAATTTTATTCGACCAAAGAAAGAAATTAAGCTAATTTATCCAAATTATGTATGATTAGAAAATATAAGTGATGTTCAATTATTTAAAAATATCAAGACTTAATCCCTAATAAAATTAGGCGAATTGTCTCGATAAGTTTAAATAAATGAATATTTCTTTTCCTTTCAAACTTGATTAATTTATAAACATAATTGATTTTTTTTGGTTTTTTCTAGTAGAGTATTTATTTATTTTAAAACATCGGAATAGGACATTAAGTTACTTTAAGACAATCCCTTCTTAATATTTTAAAATAAATAAATACTACCCTTAATCAAATTATGTAATAAGTTGAGTTATGCTTATGGGGCTTTCATACATATTCGAAATGTCTAGATCTATATGCACAAACAAATTTACATGAAAAAAAGCTAAAAAATTAAAAATACTAATTAGGAACAAATAAATGAAAATTAAAGCAAAGATAAAAATTAAATGCTATACAATGCTGGAAATAAAATTTGACTAAATTAACAAGTGCATACTTTAAAGTATAAATATTAAGTTAAATAAGCAAACAAAATATAATTACTAAAATGAACATTACAAAAATTAAAGTGCAAAATAATAAATCTTAAATAATAAATACTAAACTGGACATTACAAATGTAAATAAAGAAATTAAATTATTTAAGTTAAAAAAACATAAAATTGTACATTCCCCTAAATTATAAATATTAAAATATAAAGCATATGCATCACTTAAAATACATACTATATATATTTTACAAGCAAAAATAACATATGTTACATTACACCACAACTAGGGACTAAAATATAATATTACAAATTATATGCCAAATGTGAAATAAATAATAACATGAAGATAACAAGCAAAATATAGCTATAACAGTGACCTAAATAAAAATAATTAAAATTAACATAATAATTCAAAACAAATAAATAATATAGTAAGTGACCAGAATAAAAGAAGCTAAAATATAGGGAGCTTAAGGATGATTTTACCCTGATAGTGACCAAAATGCAAGATAAGCTGAAACTGGGAGGACCTGGACTGTGATTTAACCCTAAAATAGGTGGCCAAAGCAGAAAACTCTTAGAAACCAGGGTTCTGATGCATGATTTACCCATTTTTCATATAACCAAAATATCTCCCACCGTTTCACGTAACTCAGCCAAAACCTGCAAGCTTCACAAACGAATCCCTCGGTCACCGCTCACTGGCCCTCACACGCCGGCCACCGGGCCGGTGACCGATATACACCTACTGGCGACCTCGACCGAGATCAGAGGAGGTCCGACCGACCACCTTGAATGGCCTAAAACCCTACCCATTCTATTCCTAAACTCACTCTTTCTCCTCTTTTTCTCCTCCCATTCGACAGCTGAGAGGGCTCAAAACCGAGCCTCAACTCCGGCCACAACATCTTGGTGGCCACCCCAATCTCTGACTGGCGACCGAACCAACCAAGCGAGGCTAAAACGAAGGTCAAAGTGACCAAACTCTTCTCTCTCTCCCCTTTCGACCAAGGCACCACCTAGGACCCCACGCACTCACCTCCGGCCACCAACAACTGGCATTGTTAGGCCACGAGCTGGCCTCTCTCACACATCGGCCAATGTTCAATGATGGCCACTCCCTCTACAACCCGTGAACCCCCCGAAACTGAAGCAAAAACCAAGTCAAAAAGAAAAAAAGAAAGGAAAAGAAAAAACAATCTTGGAGAGAAAAAAAGTCAAAGAAACTGTCTTTCATTCCCTATTTTCGGGGAAAGGAGAAGTCTATGTCATTTTACAAGGGTTGGTTAGGGTATTAATAACCCCAACCACTATAATATTATAATATTTTTTTCATAATAAAATAATGATAAAGCAAAAAAGCAAAACAAAAAAAATAAAAAAATGGTGTTTACAATCTTTAAACTTGAGATCATCATTTTCTCAACATTATGAGTTGCATGTTTTGATATAGTCAAATATTTTTTGTAACTGGTTGCACTATAAAGCTAATGTTGGACATGTCACGATCTATGTAGTGAGATATGATTGATCAATATAGGATTTCCACTTATACATAATGAAATCAGTATCTTAGGTTGCTTGATTGAGTGAGATTGTAAAATGTCTAACCATGCTCGAATAAATTGATATATCAAAGTTATTCGTTTATATAGTTTGCTCAAGATATCAAGAAATATCAAATGAATTATACAAGTGTGATTGGTCCAAGACTTGTGTTCAATCTATATACAAAGGAAAAAATGGTTTAGTACATAAAAGCTAATCACATAAAGGTTATGTCGAACCATGACTTCTTGTAACTTAGGTAACAATGATTCATTGCTAGATGCCATTTATTATTTGTAATATTAGAATCATTCTAGATACTACTATTAATGTTACATGAACCTACAAGGGTCATACCATATTTTTCAAACAACAATTCTCAATTAAATTACATGTGTACAAACTTGTTGAGCACAAATAAGCTATGTAATTAAATTTATTATATGCATTTGATATGCACAATATTTTAACTAAATCAAAATTGTAATAATTATTGTAATTATAAATTTTGTTTTATATATAAATTTTGTATTGTAATTATATAACCCTTTTAAAATACATATATTTATATGATAAAAATATAATTTGAGTTGAAATATGTTTCTATATTTAAAAGAGATAATTATTATAATTATGAAACTCTCTAATATTTAGTTTAAACTAATATATATCTGATAAAATTTAATTTGAGTCGAATTATGCCTTGTGCGTTAAAAACTCTCAAATAATTAAAGAATTAAAATTGTTTGTTCCATTTGGGCGGATTGCGTAGAGATCAAGACGTTATTTTATTGGCTTGGAATTGACATTGTTTGATGAAATTAGATTCACGACACAGTTTTACACTTTTAGATTGTGGTTTTCAAATTTTAACAGTAATTTCACATCCTTATTCCTGGATTCGTCAATTGTACTTGGTTCTCTGGAGGAGATCGTCAAAGTAATTTTTTCTGTTGTGCCAAGGGACGTGACGACGATCCCAACATTTTATGAGAGGAATTCACCCTCATCCATTACTACATACAAGTTATACTCTTTTTAATATGTATATAGATATATGTATACACTTATGCCAAATTTCATGTCAATTGATGAATGATTTTTACATTGTTTCATGTATATTCTTCTAGTCTCAAAAGAAGATCAAGGTGTAGGATCATGCAAGACAAAAGGAAAAGCTCAAGAGCATAGCTTCATATAGTCTTTTTGGTATTTTGGTAAGATATTATAAGGTGAGTGCATTTATGTTATTTTTGGTCAAAATTATGATCAGTGGAGGCTTGTAATAAGCCTCCCATGGTTCATGTTCCACGCACAAATATAGGTATGATAATCTATATAATTAGTTCACATGAACAAGGAATGATAATATGATTTCTATGTCATTAAGTATTGCAAGAAGTAATGTTATGTTATGAAAATGGGTCATAATTCACCCGATAATTATCCATGTGTAGTTCTCACTCATAAATGCAATTTGTAAGAAATAAAATTTCCCAGGTAACCTATATAGTGGTCTTATGATACATCAGCATGTCTAGGGTCGACATTCAGGTTCATCCACTATACATGAGCATTTTGTTGGTGCGAGTTTAGTACTTTGGTGTGTTGGCACCTTTGGGTTTGTCCATCTTGCGTGAGTATTCCGCTTGATGTTAAGTTAACACTACGGTGCATTTGGACCGACAAGTTAATACACCCTTGCGAAATAAGTCTCGCTTTGGTGTTGAGTTTATGGCATTTATGCTAATGTTATTGGCATCTGTCACCTCGTGCACTTTTAATGATACAGTGAATAATAACAAGTCAAACATGATAACTTAATGTTCAGGATTTTCATGAATGACATATTATCATAAATAAAAACTATGCATGCTAGTTCATACCTTACTTCAAAGCTTATGCTATGTTTCATAAACGTCATGTTTAAACTATGTTACTTGCTGTTTTCTTTATTCCTCACGAAGTTTGAAAGTTAGCATGTGTTTGTTGTCCTTTCACACGTAGGTGATTCAAGTTGATCGTGAGTTGTTTTAGCCATTGTATCATCAAAGAAAGGTTATTGAAAGCTATCAATGTAGAGGTTCTTTTTGTATGCTTTGAGGTCTAGTGACATGTATATGTGGTAAATATGCAAGTGTCGTCCAATTTTTTTTTTTGTGAACTATATAGAACTGTAATGGTCTTAGATGGATTATAAATTTGGTCCTTATATTTTGATGGGTAGATTATTGATGATGATGATGATGATGATTGGTATATTAACTTGCTTCAAATGTTTTGGAGTAACTCATTTTGTCATGTTTTGAATAGGTTTTATAACTTTATTATGAACCTTTGCATAAGTTCCATCTTTGACACTAAATTGTGATGGCATGGTGTTTAGCATATTTGAAAATGTCTAAGGATGTCTTCCTTGGCATAAGATGTGCAGGTAAATGCTTCATTTCACGCTTCTAAAGTTTTAAATGATCCTATGTTCAATTAGGTTGACCAATGGTAGAAAATAAGGTTTAAAATCAATTTAGCATTTCGCTTCAGATGTTTCGAAACCCCTAGATGAAGGTTTCAAAACCCTTTGTGTAGAATACAAAAATGCACAATTCCATCCAAGAGGTTTTGAAACCCCCGTCACATAGTAAAAAAATTTATTTTTGACTCCAAAACTTTGATTCTTTGTATGCTTTCATAAGTCTTAATTGCATTCAAATAAACTTATTTATGAATGTTTTCACTCAATTTAGCTTAGTATACTTCATGTTTTCATATGACCTCTTTAGTTTAAGGTGATTCATAAATGCATGATATTCGAATCAAAATCAAGTCTTGTAGATGCTATCGATGTGTCATCTAAGGTTGAAAGATTTAAATTGTTACCAAAATTGTTAAAACCTAGTTAAGATAGATGATATGACATCTCTGAGTCATGTATGGCTTTTGGACTGCGATAGGGGTATAAAATTTAGTACCACCAGAGCGTTAGATTTAGTTGAGTCTATAACTAAACGGTTCTTAACCTTGAGGTCGTGGGATCGAGTCCCACGGAGGGCATTTCATAATTCGAAGGTCTCTTACGGAAGTTGCTCTCAACCTGGTGTTGGGGGTAGCCTACTATCTTACCTCCCCCTTACCCCATACATATGGGAAAAAGGGACAGCCATTTATAACTAAACTGAGTACGTTATGAGTCTGAGTATGTACATATCACTAGGACGTCTTACTTTAATAACTTGATGCTTGTGTGACCTTATACAACCTCAGAATATTTATTATATTTCTTATAATGTGAAGATGTTTAAGAATCATGAATCACACAAGGAGATCGATCAAGTCGTCCATAGTGAGGCCTGGAGTGGTAGTAATTAGGTCAATCTCAACCCGCATCCAAATCAAGAGCATACATATGTACTAGTTCCTCTTGTAATATCGGTGCAAGATTAAGGGACATTTCTTCATGCATTAGACATGATATTTATTTGATTCAACCATCAAGTAGTTGGACCCGTTCATCGACCTTTGATGTCTAAGGAGCGTAAGTGCCTTAGGGTTACTAAATTTAAGGGAGATAGTTATGGGGACCCAATGGATGCAAACTATTAGTTAAACAACACCAAAATAAATTTGGATGGATTATGATATAGTGATAGCGAGAAGTTGGAAGGTGTAGTGTCCCTACTTAAGAACAAAGCTAGGATATGATGGGCCAATGTCACTATACATATGCCACCATATGAGATGACTTGTGTTAGAAAAAAGATATTGCTGCAATATGAGATGTTAGCATTGGCTAACATAAATAATAAATAAATAAATAAATAAAATAAAGATGATATAATCATCATGTCGTGTAATCACTGCCTTAGAAGCAATTTCGTCCGGATTGGTGTAATCTCAAAAATGGACGTTGCCCCCAAAGTTAACACAATCTTTTGAATTTCGTACACTCGAAATAGGAAGTGAAACTTTGAATAGTGTTGCTCCTTTTGGAGAAAAGGAAAATATTTTATTCGGAGTAAATACTACCGGAATAAAAAAATCAAAAGCCACCGAAAAGAAAAAAAAACTTCACTCTGCTTGTGAAGAGAGAAAATATAAAAAAAGAAAGGAGAATAAAGAAATGAGTGAGTTAAAAATAAAGGAGAGAGCCTCCTTTTATAGCTAAAAATTAAGGGTACTTAGGTAAAAATGTAAAGAGAAAAATCAAAAAAAAAAATTGAAAATCTCAACTTCTCCCATAATCTCAACAATTAAATTTAAATTAATTTAAAATTCAAATAAAATTAATTATATTTATTTTCATTATTATATATAACCAACAATCCCCCACTAATGCAAAGAAATAGAGCTCCACAAAAGAATTAAAACAAAAGAGCAACGGTGAAATTAGTCGCTTAAGTACTAGTATCTGTCAGATTTCAACTAGTACATAGTGAAATGAGAAATTCTTCTATTTAACAAGTGAATGAATCTTGAACTTGTTAAGATTAGGGTTAACTCATAACACACGACTTATCTCAGATCTATTTGAGTTCCATGATAGTTCAAAAATTTTGCCAAATAAGACCTCGGGATGCTCATAAGTGCTTTAGAAAGACAACCCAATATCTTTCATAAAAGTTGGCTAGTTTTTCACACTTATGTAGGTGATTTTATCAAGTCTATCTCAATATAGACCACCCAAATCAGGGATACGAAATCACTAAAAGCATTTAGAAAGCTCAACCTCTTTTTTTTAAATCAATGAATTCATCAAGTCCGTCTCACAAGAACCACCCAAATCCTGGGCTATGAACTCATTAAGAGCGCAAAGCTCAACATATCAAGCCAGTGAATTCATCAAGTTCGTCTCATTAAGGCCACCCAAATCATGGGTTATAAATTCATTGAGAGTGTAAAGCTCATCCTTTCAAGTTGGTGGATTCTCATCCTTATGCATGTACATTATTTGCTATAAGGATGGGTAAGAATGTACATTATGAGTCTTTCCATGGCTTCTTTTGACCACATTAAACTTAGAAGACTAAGTTGGGTGTCCACCATGAATTCCTCAACCAAACAGGTTTAAGACTTATCCCCTCGACAAATCATTAATCACTTTTCATTTTAACTCTAAAGTTAAGAGATCAATATAAATTCTCTTCAATACTCTTGTACCTCAAAGTATTATCATTTTATTTTACAGACTTATGCCTTCTCTATTCATTGTATCTTGATTTTAAATCACTTTTACAAGTCACGTAAAAATATAAAGAATAAAGAATTTTCTCTCTTTAAGGATTCTCAACAAGATAAATCCTTAAGACATCCAACCTCTTGCATAGCTAAGTCATACTTAGCATCTTAGACTTCACAATAAAGCTATTAAAAAAGTTTCACAAGCTTTCACAGAAGCTGATCTACTCAAGATGAACACATACCCACTAACAGAAGTTTAAGTATGCATTATCAATTACATAATCATAATATCCTTTTAAAATTGTAGGATATTTTTCGATAAACTATAATCAAAAGTCATTATAAACTTTATTTTCTCAAAAAATACTTAAGATTTCTTTCAATATTCAATATTGGATTGTGGGTATATTATGGATGCCAGGTCAAGTTATAAAAACTCTCAGAATCCACACTAACGGTTTCCTAACGGTTTTGGGTGGAAGTAGTTATTTCGGGAGCCAAAATCCACACTATAAATAGTTTCTATCATCATCATTAGAAAAACACACCAAGATTAAGCAAAGCTTAAGCATTTCGAAAGCAAAGCAAAGCACTAGGAGGGAAAGAATTTTTACCTTCGTTAGAGGAAGTCACCACCACATTAGGAGGTTCGGTTTTGCTATTAGATTTGAGATTCCTTTTTTTCTATTTTTGTGGTTTTTTTTCGAGATTGGTTTGGGTTTGTTTGGGTGGTCGGCCGGCGTTGGGTCCGGCGGTGAGGAGGTGTTTCGGCCATGGTTAGGGTGTTGATATTGGGTGTTTAGGTTGGTTTAGGATTAAGAAGGATGAAGATTATTTTTTGTGTTCTTGATGTTCTTGGAAATTTGAGGAAAAAGTTAAATTTTGATCCTAAAATAACTACATGTGGTGGCTTTTGGTTGTTGTTGGAGGATTAAAATGAGTTTTTGAAGATGATCATTTGATATTTCTTAGGAAATATGGGTGTTTGATCTTCTAAAAATTAATTTCAGGTGAGTTTTGATGTTATTTTTGGATTAAAGCTTGGTTTTTTGATGAACAAATGAATGAACATGAAGAACACTTGAAGATTTTTTTTGTTTGGCTTTGAATTTTTTGTTGGGGTTGAGAGCATTTGGAAGAGAAGTGTTTTTTTGGAAGTGTAAAAATTATATTGTTTCTAATATTTTGGGTCTTATAGTGTAGATTTTTTGGGCTATAAACACCCATCTTCATGCATGTTTTGCTTTTGGGAAGTAGCTTTTCATTTATTTTATTTTAGTCACCATTTCGTTGTAATTTGTACTCCGAATTTAATTGAATGCAATTTAGTCGTTAATTTCTTTTCAATTGCTTTGAATCCTTTATTTATTATGTTTAATTGTTAATATCAATTGTTAATTTATGAATCTTTTAAATTGGTCACTTGTTTAAGTATTGAATAAGTCGTTTAGATTTTCCCATCTTTTAATTTGGTCACTAAATATTAATTAGTATTTAGATTTTTAATTAAGCATTAGATTTTAAGTGCTTTAGTTATTAATTAAAACCTTAGTTTAGTTTCCTTAATTAGAAATAAATAAGTTTAGTATACCTTTTAAGTTTAGCATCCTTAATAAAATTAATTAGAAACACATAAATACAAATTCATAATTAATTAAAAAGAATATTCTTTTATTCCTAAATATTGGAAGGGATAGTCTTAAAATAACTAGACATTCATGTTCAATATTTTTTGAGTAAATAAATATTCTATCAAGTGATCATCACAAAAATTAAATAGATTCACTAATTTTAATTAAAGGGTAGAGGTTTGTTCCTACATTTAAATTGCTAAAGACAAGTTGTTCGATTAACGTTGAAGGCTTGGCTTTTGTTCTTTAAATCAATGAACATCCTTATTCTTTTAATAATTAATTTGGGCTAATTGTCCTTTAATCTTCTTTTATG